CAGTGGTCCAGGAGGGACTGTGCTTGTTGTTTTGCATTGATAATGAGGTCAAAAGGGCAGTTCAATTAATACCATCAAGTGTTCAGACCCCCACCAAGTCACTTTAATTCTTTTAGTTAGTTGTCAAACAGACATTACACTTTTTTCTTTTTCCCTTTCCATATTCCCCCTGGTCTTCATATTAAAAACGTGTCCATCCCCGCTGAATAGAGCCATATCCACTCTGATTTTGGATGACACCGAGGCAGCCTCTCCCTGGAGTTCTTCTAATCAGTGTCAATGTATAACATGGCTATGAATGTATCTTTCCTAACAAGCTCTGCCATTGTGAATCCTTGTTCACAGGACTGAAATAACATGAAAGAGGGCTAATAAAATAGACTTCAATACTCGAGGGGCCGGCCCTATATCTTATTACCAGTGGAATAGCAGTGGTATGCCCAACAATGTCAACAATCACAAGCAATTAGGAGCTCGCAGGCTCACAGAGGAAGACCGAGACTGCTTAGTGCTGAACAAACAGCTAACAACTGAGGGAGAATGGGAAGAGAGAGAGAGAGAGATTAAGGACGCAGTGATAGATGTCCGCTCAGTGATTTTTCAACCATCAGTAAGACAAACACTGAAGCAAATCCAGAGCAAATAAAGTCTGGCTTCCTCTGTGAGAACACGGTGGCAAGTAAATGCTGCTATGTTTTACCCAAACTCATTTAGACAGCAGAAGAAAGAAAAAAAAACAGCAGAAGATGGCTGCCACTCCAAACTAATTTCAACGACAAACTGATGCTGAAATTTCACCAGAAAATTGCACGTCAAATATTTTAAACTTTCAAGGGCTGACATTCTGACCCATTATCTAGAAAATAGCTCCGCTTGGAACAACAATTAACCACCATTTCACCGCAAAAGACACAGAAGACGTCTGTCTGAAGCCATTACAAGGCAAAAAAAATATAAATACATCTCAGATATTTAACCTCTGACACGTTGGTTCTATGTTCCTGCCTCCACTGTGAGTTATATTGCTTCCAACACTCCAGCAGAGTTAAGCAAACAGCTAAGATCATCAGTGACATCATGGGGTATTTCGAAAAATGAAATAAAACGCTTCTTTACTTAAACGCCAAGCGGAGCTGAACTTTTCATGCTCAGCAAAGAGGGATATGAGATCAACTCTGAATGAATTAACAAAGGAATTAACTTGATTACATTTTTCCAATTATGAAGAATAAATCCCATTGTTGTTACAGATCAATCATGGAAGAGGAGAACGGCTTAAAGAAACTCCTCTCAAATTTTAATTTAAAAAATTGTAATTCAAAAATCCCTTTAATCAAGTCTAATGAAAATTAAAATGAACAGTGCAGTTCACTGTCTTCAGTCTATCTCCCATGACGCCGCCTCAACAGTCACTTGACATCGAATGTTTCCCTTCTTCCTCTTCTCTCGTCCTTCATTCCATAAGTGCGCAATACTTCCACGACCCAACAGACGCAGACGGAGACGGCTAATTAGCAATTAGCTTCAGGTCAAAGGTTGGACCCGGGAATGAGAAATCAGTCAAAGAAATTTGGCATCTGTTGGGACTGAAGCCTAAAGTTTAAGCAACATGAGTCAGATAGTTTGGCAGTCGGATGACATTCACTGTCCAGAGGGATGACAGCATCAGGCTGAGACACTTCCTGGAACTGGCGAATGTTGATTTTGTTCTGCTGGAATTCATGCTGTGTTATATCAATTATTGTTTCTATCACAAGTGAGATTGTTATTACTGATAGTCTCAGGGTGCAGGAATTTACGACACTACTTAATTGGAGTCTGCGGGTGGATATTACTAAATACCAGACCCTGGGAATAATTGCAGGAATCAAATTACATTTATGCTCAGTGCTGATTCAGAGCAGACGAATGGCCTGAAACCACCTCTTCATCATTCTGCCATATTGCGGAAAATCTGTTTATTTGGTATTTTTTTAACCAGTCACAGCCATTTTAGTGCTGCAAGGTGGCGTGGTGGTTGGCACTGTCGCCTCGCAGCAAGAAGGCCGCTGGTTCGCGTCCCAGTAAGGACACTCGGGATCTTTCTGTGTGGAGTTTGCATGTTCTCCCCATGCAGTGTAGGTTCTTTTTGGGTTCTCCGGCTTCCTCCCACAGCCCAAAAACATGTTGAGGCTAATTGGTGATTCTAAGTTGTCTGTCAGTGGTGTCCTGTCCATTGTGTCCCTGCCTTCGCCCTAAGTCAGCTGGGAAAACTGACCCTAGTGAGGATTAAGTGGTGTATAGATAATGGATGTATGGACAGTCATCTTAGGGATAGTAGATAGATGTGTTAAAGCGCAGGATACAGACATGATGTCCTTGAAAAATAGTGCTGGGGGAAACTGTTGTGGTGAAAAATTTGCATCCTGGGAGGAAAGAACTGTCATCAAAATGGCTAATTTACTGAACTGAGAACCAGGCAGACTGTTTGAGATGTGCAATGGAAATGGCAGATTAAAGGCTGATTCCTGCTTTTCACATCCACGTGTCCACAAGAGTCAGCAAGAGTAAATGTGAAAGAAATGTTGTCATTTGCTGGGACTGCATGGACCCCAAAATTTGTGACATAGCAAATTGTCCACATTCACGTCTTTAAAGTCCCTCTATCCCTTATCTAAATGTCGCTGGGGCCTCTTCCAGGCGACACCTGGACAGGTCACCAGTCTATCACAGGCACACATAGGGAGACAGACAACCAAGCACACTCACATTCACACCTACGGACAATTTAGAATCACCAATTAACCTCAACATGTTTTTGGACTCTGTGGGACGAAGCCGGAGAACCCGATGAGAACCCGCACAGGCACAAGGAGAGCAAAGAAACTCCATGCAGAAAGATTCCAGGAATTGAACCCAGGACCTTCTAGCTGTGAGGCGACAGTGTCAACACCACGCCGCCCCCACATCTTTATAGTCCATTATGAAAAGAATTTGGACCTTGGAGATGTTTGATTTGTACACACTTTCCATT